CCCCCCCCCCCCGCCGTGCGGCATGCTACCTATGCATATTAGCTTGCAACAACCCCTCCCTCCTCAGCGCCCCACTCGTCCTACTCCCCCCTTCCCTCGCGCAATGCTCCATCAACTATCGGGGTCTGTACGCCAAACACAACACGGTTGCGACGGCGGCGATGTGTTCCACCGCGGCGTTGTTTTCGACGATGACGACGTTGCAAAGATCTACAACGAGAACGTCGTAGACCTCCTCACCGACCCATCCGCAAGAAGCAATTCGGCTGACAGTCCCGTAAAGAAGAAGACGTCCCCCAGAGCCAGGCAGGGGTCCAACTCGGTGTCCCCTACGGTGTCGCCGCCGGCGGGGGGCGGCAGCGGCGGCGGCGGAGTGTTTTCGGACGGGAAGGGCAAGCCCACGATTCGCGAGAACAAGGTGACCTCTTCGTGTCTTCTGTACGTGGTCGCAGTAAGACCTGTGTGGCTTGCTGTTAGAAGTACAGAGCGTGTGGGAATGTTTCTCCTGACTTGTGATGCAACGGCTGTGTGTTCGTTGGCACCAACGTCACAGCCGCGGCAGCATGTTTTCGCGCGCACGCTGTTGATATGGGATCGTTTTGGTGGCAGTGTAGTATACGAGTGGTGAGGAAAATCTGCCTCTCCTCTCCTCACCGAGAGGGCGGTGGCGGGGTTTTCCTTGGCCATATTGCCGTGTTCCAAGTATCGCAAGAGCGCCGGGTCCGGACAATGAATCTCCGGGCGGCGACCGGGGGGGTTGTGCGATGCAAGACTGCTGTTGGCTCCTGAAACAACGGCGTTGTGTTTCTTTTGGTCTAAAATAAACGTGATTTTTGCAGCTTTGGGTGTGGCGTCGGGGTGTTCATGAAAAAATTGGGGTGTCTTGGACGAGTGGTGGCCCGACAAACTCGCCCACCCTGTTTCCCCTGCTCCCGTGGAAAACGCTCCCCACTGCGTACAAACAAGCAACAGCGCCAGTTGATTGCATCTACGAAGGAGGGACAGGGAGAAACAAAAGCAAAAGAGCGACTCGATGTTCGATCTGTTCGGGCGGGGAGAGTAGTAGTTGGCTCGAGGTGTGCACGTAAAACTCCGCCAGCTCGAAGCGAAAAGGAAAAATGGTCACTCCGCCAGGAGTTCGCCTCCTCGTTGTTACTAGAGATCGCTCACAGTTTCACCTGATGTCAAAAGCACCGCATAACCATGTTCCGTCCCCTTCGATACATTATTTTCTATTTTTTACATGTACACATTCTTCGTGATTTCTTATAAACTACGATATTTTTTTTTTCATGTATTTTGGCCTTCGGGAGCAGGACGGAGTTTACGTGGAGAACATCACGGAGGAGAAGGTGCAATGCGAGGCCGCCGTGCTGGGTCTACTGGCTAGGGGCTCCGCCGTACGGAGCAAAGGAGAGACCCAGGTAACCGGCGATCGCTTACAATGCCACCCTCTCGTCTGAGTTTTTTTTTTCCCAAATGAGAGATAGACCACTTTGCGTGGAATACCATGTTTTTAGACCTACAGATATGTGCGTGTGTCCCTTTTCGTTGTCAGCGGGAATGTACGATGCTTGTGTGCTGGTTCTGAGTTTTCTGTTCCGAACCCTCGTGCTCGTGGTGGAAATATATAGAAAGTATAAAACAAAAAGCCGCGGTGTTGCTGCTCTCTTCGTTTCGTTATACCGGAACCCCCCTTCTGGCCCCCTCATCGTGCGATCGAGCATAGATGAACGCTGCATCCAGCCGCTCCCACGCGGTCCTGACGCTCTCCATCATCCAATCCGTGCTCAACGTCGACGACGACGGCGGCGGCGGCGGCGGCGGTGGAAAAGAAGCGGCGGCAGACTTAGGAACCGTTCGCTCCAAGATTAGTCTCGTGGATTTGGCCGGGTCGGAGAGGGCCAAGTCAACCGGGGCGGCCGGCCAAAGACTCAAGGTTAGTCGCGAACTGTTCCCTGTTACACCAGCGCCGGCTACGGTGTAAGAGGAGGAATGGACCAACTCTGGGTATAGCAGCAGTGCCGGCTGCGATGGAAGAGAGGGTTGGAAAAAACGATATACGTTGTTCTCCATGTCTGGCTCTCTATTGAACCGTACTGCTGCGTATGATGTGTCTCATGGCCGTGACAAAGCGATTTTTGACCCTCATCGGTCTCCTACGTAGATTATCTTATTTCGTAGCCGGCACTGTGTGTAGGTCGTCGGCCAATCAGATGTCAGCGTGGCCTGCAGGGGGCTCGTTTCACAGGTCTCTTGCTTTCCGAGCGCTTCGGTAGAATGTTTCGAGGGCGGACACGAAACACGACGAAATTGTGATCAAGCAAGCATACGTGGAGGTCATCCTGTCGTCGGGCCTTCGTCTCATGGCAGCATGTTTCGCGATGCATCGCTGCCAAACACCCAATGCTGAATCACCCCCCCCCCCCCCCCCCCC